GTCCTCGGTGGATGAACCCTCGGTCAGTATCGCACAATCCCAAGCACTTTCACGACACATGAAACCGTCACATCGATCCGGATCGGTCGTGGACCTACGTCGGAAAAATTTCTTCGATTTTGTGCGGAGGGAGCAGAGGGAGACAGGGGACCTAACGGTAACGACCAGCTTCCAAGATAGGTCAACGCCCCAATGCGTCAGATTTGCCGACAAAACCTCGGTGATAGGTGGAGAAGATGTAACACAACGAGAGGAAGTCAACGGTGTGTTAACAGAGGGCTCGGTCCGTCTGGGAGCAGAGTTATCAAGTGTAACGGTGCCCAACTGTGATACGCCGGGTTGCATGACGCAGAAGGCGTGGATCCCCTAACGGGTCAGAGAGAACGTCGGAGAAGGATTGCGACCGCTCAGTACGAGGAGTGGCGATGGGCGAATTTGAAGACAGTTCTCCACGGGGAAGAATCTACCCTAACGTACCGTGCAGCGAGAGACGCGTGGAAAATGTCCGACCACTTCGTTCTATGCGAGGGCAACGTGCTCTACAATGTAGGAACGAGGCCTCTGAGAAGTGACCAACAGCAAGAAGATGCGATGCTGCGTCAAGTAGTGCCCTCAACGATGATTCCGGAGGTACTACAGAACTGTCACGACTCGTTGGAAAGAGGCCACCAAGGTGTCGCCCGAACTTTCTACAGAGTGAAGTTGGACTATTACTGGATCGGTCTATACGCAGACGTGGCGAGGCACGTACGGTCCTGTCCCGACTGTAGCTCACGCTAAAGTCGACCAAAGATCCGTGGATACTCTCAGGGGAACATATTAGCGGAACAACCGTTTCAGGTTGTTTCGATGGATTTCGTGATACCCTTACCGAAGTCTCGGTGGGGCAACACAAAGCTTTTACTGTTCTAATGCGCATTCACAGGGTATGTGATGGGCAAAGCCATGACAGACACGTCTACTCTGAGAGTGACCCAGGCTCTTGAGGAGTGTGTGTACCGGAGATTCGGCGCACCATCTCTCATCAGACATGACACAGACCCTCGATTCATGAGCGAGGTGTTCCAATTGTTCACCCAAATGATTGAATCAAGGTCTAGGGCAACGTTGAGTTACCGGCCCCAAGCCAATGGCCAGCAAGGGCGCTCGGTCAAGACCGTCATGCAATCAGTTCGCGTGTACGCGGAAGACCCACTTCAACAAGACTGTTGCGAAATCACTGAAAAGCTGATCTTTGCGATCAACAACTTAATGGACACAACGAGGTAAAGACACCTTTTTCCTCATCCATGGGTGGGATGCTCAGTCCACGCTCAAAGTGATGTCCTTGTCGCTCAAACGAGGACTCGGTCGACAGTCAGACGCACTGGCATGGCGGCGAGAAGTGAACCGGCAACTAGAAGTAGCGTTGAAAATGGCCATGGAATACCAAGACACCGAGAAGGCTCGGAGGGCGAGGAAACACAACGAAAGCCTCCGTGGCCAAGAAAAAGGAACGGCCTCAGAAACAGGCCAAACCGTTACGCCAAGTGACGAACAGCCTGCGACAGGGGCGGTGACCGAAGACTCGGACAGAAATACTACGGGTGCTACGAAGTCTCTGCTCGAGGTAGGGAGCCGCGTATGGCTGTATATGGAACGTGTGAAGTCAGGACCGACGAAAAAGCTCTCACACCGATAACATGGACCGTTTAGGGTAAAAAAAGAAAGTGACAGAGTTCGCCTACGAGCTCGAACTCTCTGACCGGTTTGTGTCACGCTTAAAGATGGTAGAGAAATTTGGAGATCGACCGAGTGCTCGTTTGGCACAAGACGTGAACGAGGCTACGCGAGTGGAATTTGATGAGGAATTGCTCCAGGAGGTAGCTGGGAACCAGACTATGTCGCGGATGAATTTGAAGTCGAGGCGATACTGGATGGCAGGACCCTTCTGTCCACTACCACAGAACGATCCGTCAGAGAATTCAAGGTGAAGTGGGTCGGCTGTGATGGCCCGACGTGGGAGCCTGCATCCAACCTCTCGTGCGGTGGTCTATTATTAGACTATCTTCGAGAAAAACGTCGTGATCGAAGGTTGCATATTGTCCAAGTCGCTGTCGATGATTAGATGCGAGTGATGAATGATCAGTCTGTGGGTTTAAGTGCAGCCCACAACAACAGACGAAAGAAGTTACTGCACCAGAATGCATATTACACGTTTGCATATGATGTGAACAATTTTTCGAAGTGGAGAAATGGAGATATGATAAATGGAGATTACGAGACTACTTGGAATTACCACTAGATTTACTACTTAAGAACCGAGCCAACCGCTCGCTGGTCGCGATCCGGACTAGCATCTCGAACGGAGCGAGTACTATGTCAGATGGAGCCTCCTCCGCATCGTGAGCAGGAACCTCAACACCAGTGTGAGATGCCGAGCTCTCGGTCGCTGCACTGCCAAGCTCCGATGTTGCTGTATCAACAGGGACAAATGAAAACGAGTCCTATTCCAGAACTTCAGCCGTCTCAACGGGAGCCGACGGAACGTTTACGGCGCCGACCGAGCTCTCTTCAGCAGTCCCAGTAAACAAACGTTCAGTGATCCCAGCAGCAGTAGGAGCCTTGTTGATCCAAGGAGCTACGAGATCAGTGTCGGCCAGAGACTGATCCACAATGATGCCAGAAATGACAACCTGGCGAGTCATCGAAGTTGGCACGAAAAGTGGGGCGCCGGGATTGCAGGGATGTTGTATGGGTGCTCTGCAGAGGCATCAATCCAGTTGTTTCTCCAAGGCTGCTTGACATCCAACACCCGCAACTCCCGGAACCAATCATTGGTAGCAGGAGCCCATTCCACCACTTCCGTTGAATATTGGAGGTAGCTGGGCTCCAGCCAGACCAATGTGGGTAGAGTGCGAGTGCGACCTCCAGCACTCGTACAGCCGATTAATCTGCTGACGCAGAAGGTCGGCGCGGTTGTTCCTCATCCGATTGAGATGATACCACAAATCAAGGATCACGTGTGTAAACGGATCCAAAGGGTCCGAACCCTCCTTAAACTTGCGGATGGCGTTATCCATGGCCGTCACTTGGAGACAATGCCGGCGCTCCCACAACGCGACACATAGATCGATTGTCACGTTGTCCTCATAGCGGTGTCCCGAGAACCGGCTCCATATTCGGACGAGACCACCGTGCCTGAGGCGCGAATAGTAATCCGCACGCCTCGGACGAGCTTTCCCAATGCGAAGGTCAAAGCCTCGTCCGGCGTGCAGTCGAAAACCACTCGCCACGGATGTCTTGTACTATATACATGAGCGCAAGGAACGCGAAATCAAGCGGTGACACATGGTCTTTGGGTGCCGACTCACAGAGACGCACGTTGATCATCTGGCACCAGGCCTTTTACGCCCAACAGCGGCAAACCCAGGCTCGAGAAATCGCTCCGCGGTAGCGGTGAGCTTCCTGGAATTCGCCGCCCTGGACACCACTGTAGCCGCTGGAACGAAAGCCGAGGTGTCCGTACCCCGTCGAGCCGTCACTGTAGCAGCAACTACGTGAGTTTGACGTCGAGATCGAGGGCCACCTTGCATCCCTACGCCAGATTCATGGCTAGAAGTAGGAGCAGGCTGGGTAGGAATATCCGCAGCACGCTGCGAACAAGCCCTCGTTCTCACTGAAACGACCGTGGTATTGACCGAGGCTTCCGACCCAGGGGCAAACGATACAGGAGCGACCGGAGCTACAGTACCGGTCACACTCCCGCTGGTGTAAGTGGGTGTGCTTGGCGCTACAATAGGGTCTGACACGGGATGAGAGACCGAGGAGTCGGTGCCGCTAACACTATCAGCACTCATCCCCGCATCATTTGAAGGATTGTCAGAGGCTTCCTGCCCCGCCAGATCGACATTGAGGAGCTGGGAAATCGGTACAGCCGAGATGAATTTAGACGCAGGGGGCGAAGGTGAAGGATGGTGAGTGGACCCCGAGCCAGACGCACAGATGTCTCCGAGACATGAGTCTCGTCTACTGGAGTCTTGTCTACAGGAGCTCCTGCCTCCACCGCAGCCTCCACCACAGAAACTTCCTCGGTAGGAGAAGGGTGACCATGATCGGTGGAATGGTCGATACAGTCCTCTGCGACAACGTCCGCGGGGGATGCAGAGCTATGTGAGCGCAAATCAAATCCAAGACTTCGACAGGGGATTGTGACGCTAGAGCCAGACCAGCCGAGAAATTACCCGGCACTCCAAGAGACTTGGCCTTATCGACTTGAGCAGGAAGCTGCAGAGGCTTCACTTCGTCAAGAGGAGAGCCAACGTCGAAATCTACTTCCACGTTATTATAGATATCACCATCGTTAGAAACAAAACCAGGAAGCGAATGAAGGCTCTTTAGTAGTGAGAAGGGGCCAACAGAAGGCGGATCGTAGGGTCGAAGTCTCTGGAGACCTGGCCGAGCCTTTGGAATGGCCACCAGCGGCGCCGATTTCCTCTTTAAGTCCTCAGATGGACGTTTGGAAGGCACCGACGAAGGTGGCTGCTTCGACGTCGAGGCCTCGGACACCCCGCTATCCGGTGGGGATATGGGAGTTGGTAACCAAGAACCCTCAGTCGAGACCTCTGGAAGCGAGGAAGGTGACGCAAGAGGCGGAGGATGGATCTAAGTGGACAACACAACAACGAGGTGGATATTTAGCATCACTGAAGCCGAGATATTAGCAGACCAAAGGGCCGATATCTATCCGGTCATCCTCATAAAGGACGCGATTTGCCGCAGCCGAGGCATCGGTCAGATCACGCGAGAAAGATGACATGGCGTTGTCCATGGAAGACGCTGCGACGCTCACCAGTTTGGAAGGCTTGCGTTCAGGCGGGGGCAGTCGTGGTGAAGCAAAGCGCAGCTTCGCAGACCTCCGAGTTTTCAAGGCAACTGGCACAAGAGCTTTCGGAGAAAGCTCACTTCGCATCATGATTAATCAATTATACTCCCCGCGTCCTAGTGATGGGGTCACTCTTGGGACCGTCCGAGCCCTCGGCCATCCTAATATAACGTGGCTGAGGGTTATTCCGGGTTATCCTAAATTAGGATTCGGTGTCTTATTTAACCGAACACTCGTTCACGCGAGTCCTTGGTTGGATTCGGAATGATGGTGAGTTCGTACCTACGTGACCCCTCGGTCGGTAGATGTCGGTAGAGAAGTCGGTTGGGGATTGTCCCACAATAGTCCGTTTATACTTGATTTTAGT